GGCTCAGAGGTTAAGAGCACTGACTGTTCTTCCAAAGGTCCTGAGTTCGATTCCCGGCAACCACATGGTGGCTCACAACCATCCGTAGTGAGGTCTGGCGCCCTCCTCTGGCCTGCAGACATACATGGAAGGAATGCTGTATACATAATAAATAAATAAATATTTAAAAAAAAATTGCATCAATCGGACATGACATTTAAACCTGGTGACAAAAATGATGATGGTTTGGTTAAACTTAGGTGGACAAGATGGAGGATCTTGATCAAGAAAATGAAGCTGCATTGGAGAATGGGATTAAAAATGAGGAAAATACAGAAGCAGGTGCTGAATCTGCTGAGAATGCTGATGATCCAAACAAAGACGCAAGTGAAAATGCAGATGGCCAGAATGACGAGAACAAGGAGGACTACACAGTTCCAGATGAGTATAGAATTGGACCGTATCAGCCTAATGTTCCTGTTGGTAAGCTTTAAAGACTTTCTTTTTCTTCTTTTTTTCTCCCAGCAAATGTATTAAAATAAGATTTAAAGTTGCTCTTATGTAAACTTTGCTAGTATATAAAGTTTTCTTCTCTTCCCGATATTAATTTGTAAATTTACATCAACATATTGTTCTATTTTCCTCTTCCATGTGTCTCCTAATTTTGTATTACGTTATCATCCCCCTATGTTCTCTCTTCTCATGATGATTTCTAAAATTACACATTGCTTTTTGTTTTGTGTTTGTTAATATTTTTGTCTTCCATTTTAAGAGTACAGATAGGATCTTGAACATCGGTTAAGTAAAAAAAAAAAGAATATTGTGTTGTTATTTGTGTTTTTAGCTTAGGCTGTACTGGACTTTTCACAAATACATTGTCTGATTCAAATTTTATTGACAGGAAGAAAGATTTGAGACTACTAAGTAAAATTTAAATTTACTTAATTTGTAAGAATGTATGTTTGTGTTTCTAGGTATAGACTATGTGATACCTAAAACAGGGTTTTACTGTAAGCTGTGTTCACTCTTTTATACAAATGAAGAAGTTGCAAAGAATACTCATTGCAGCAGCCTTCCTCATTATCAGAAATTAAAGGTAAGGCTGAATATAAGAGGAGACTTATGAAAGCAAATGATTTATAGAAATAAATGAGATACATAAGTAAAATGTGTGTATGTCCTTGGACCCATCATAATGCTTTATCTCAAAGATGTTTTTTCTTAATAGGCTGGGCTTTAAGGAAATTTAATGGGTTCTACTAACTTTTGAACCTCTTTTCACTCAAAATCAGATTCAGTAGTGTAGATCCATAATTCTTAAACTTGGGGAAGAGAATCGGGAGGATCAGTGCTATTCTTAGCTGTGTATTGAATTGGGAAGAAAGAAAAGTAATAATTTCTAACCCTACTTTTTTACATTATAACTTATCCAAGTAATTTCAAAGAGGCTAGAGGTCCAAACATAAAGTAGAACAGTCAAAAGTTTTTGAGTTTGTTGAGTGCCGAGTCCCTGATTTATTTTAGAGACTGAGTCTCCCTAACCAACAGATTTTTTATTTCTACATTATAGCATAAATGGGTAAACCTCAAAGGGGGAAGCAAGAACAAATTCCTACTGTGCTTTTTTAGTTAGGACCCTATTTAAGGTCTCACTCAATATTAAGTAATACAAGGAAACTTGAAAGTATTACTCAATTCAGTTGTAAGAGATTTGGTTTTTCACATTCCTTCATTTATAATGAATAGTGGCTACTTGTTGAATATTCCTAATCTGACAGTCTGAGACTTGCCACATCTGGTCCAGTAGCAGTAAAAATTGTAGTCAGAATGCTGGTACTCCTAAAAATATTGTGTGGGGGCTTGGGAGATAGCTCAGTGGTAAAACTGCTTGCTGTGAAAGCAAGAGGATAGCTCCCCAGAAAATGCCAGGCTGGGGAGGGGTAAGACTGTAATTCTAGCTGTCTAATAGCAGGCTGGCTGGTGAAACCAGCTTTATCAGCAGGGTCTGGGTTTGATTGAGAGACCCTGCTTCAATGAATAAGATTGAAGGGCAATCAAGGAGGATTCCCGATATCAATCTTGGGCTTCAGCATGTGTTTTTACCCATTTGCACATTCAAGGAAGAAAAAATGAAATTACCTTTGGGTGATAGAGGTGCAGCTCAGTGGCAGAGCTCTTGGTAGCAGTGTAAGGTCCTAGCTTTGTTTCAATGGGAAAAAAAGGTAGAATTGTTATCTTTTGACTATGTTTCATGGGACCTCATTCAAATCTAGACTCCCTAATACAAACAAATCCCAAATTATTTAAACAAGAGAAACTCAACCTGTATAGCATTCAGTTATCTCAGCACATTGTTGACTGGTGAATAAAAAAATAATTTTCATTCTTGTTTATATCATTGATGTTGTTTTCAAATTGCAATCTGTATGTCTCTTACCATTATGGATATAAGAAAAGAATGGTGGTCATTTTCAGTGCTAACAGCAGTTTATTTTGGGAGGAGGATGAGTATAGCTTCATTCATACTACAAATGCACTGTTTGGATTTTAGGCCATGTGGGGTCAAAGCCATGCTTATTACCCGAAGGGTATGCTTTATGACTAAATACTTAGAGCAAAGATGAATGAGCTGCATTTAAAGGGTATTGGGGAGTTTATGTTGCTCAAATGATAAATTGACAGTTTTCTTAACTGTTTTGACACTTTTCTTAACTAGGTGTTTTGTGTTTTTTTTTTTTTTTTCCTTTTTTTTTTTTTTTTTTTTTTTTTTTTTTTTTTTTTTTTTCCTTTTTTTTTTTGTTTGTTTTCATTTTCTTTTTAAGGATATAATGGCTTTTAACCCTCTCATCAGTCTGCAATAACCAGTGCTGATATATTTTAACCAGAAGTAAAGAAACAGAAATGCCTTTTAAATATCTTTCATATTCCCTTAGAATCTTAATAGATCTATATCTAGAAATTATATGCTGGAGATCATAGGTAGAAGGGGTCTCCAAGCTATACTTTGTAGCCTAGCCACCTGCTGTTTATAAATAATGTTTTATTAGAGCACAGCTGGTCATAGCCATGGTCTTTCAAAGTATAACTATGGCTTTTTTAGGTCAGTGAAATTGTTACAACAAAGATCTAATCTAGCTGTTTCTTCCTATATAATTGAGATTTCTAAACGTTAGGGTTAATTGCACATTAAAATATCCATTTTCCACATTTGCCATTTTTTTCATGCTTTATTGTTGTGTCCTGAGCAAGTTTAGTTTTCTATGCTAAGATTAACTCATTCATAAAATATTAAGACATTAGTGTAAGTCCTTAAACTTGGAGGGAATATTTTATAACATATATATATATATACTAGGTGTCTCAACAGTTACTTAGTCCCTGTAATTCTTTTTTTCCCTTCAGAAATTTCTGAATAAATTGGCAGAAGAACGGAGACAGAAGAAGGAAACTTAAGATGTACAAGAAGCTTAATTATTTCACAAGAAAACAATGGTTCTTTGATTTTAATGTTAACCTTTTTTAAACACAATACTGATAGTTAGAAAACTATTGTACTCTTTTGTTTTAGTGGAAAAATAATAGATGTCTGTTCATGTGTTTAAGTGTTATAGCAGAAAGTACACATACGGTTAAGTTAATGGAAAAGTATTTGTTTCATCAGAATGGCAACAGACAAAAGTACTTCATAGAGATTGACTGTTGTAAACTTATGGAAAACAACTTGCACCAATAAGAGATAACAGAACTATTCAGAAAAATGAAATTTAGTAGTTCGAGGCTTCAAAGAAATGTCAACTTTTGATTCCATTCAATAAAGAACAAAACCAATTGTATTTTTTTTTTATTACTTTTCATCTGAAACATTCCACAGTTTAATCTGAGCCTTGCAGACTTCATTTGACTTTGGAAGCTGTTTTGGTTGCGTTTCCTTTTTAGAGATCTTCATGTGAAATTGACAATTCGAATGCAGGTGCAGTTTTCTTTTAATGTCGTGCTGTTTAGATGATAAGAAATTAAGTAATTGGCTTTAGATTTGTAATTCTTTTCCCCCTGAGTTCCTGCTAGGTTTCGTATTCTAGTAGTCGAATGTTATTTCAGTGAAATGTAAAAATATTCCCGTTCTCTTTGACCAGTATTAATTTCCTGAGAACCTATTGCTTGTCACTTGAATCCTGTAGCTGTCATACATCTCTGGTATAAGCAACATTTGATTTTTGAAGTGTGTAAACCATCTCTATATTTTCAGAATGTGATTTTACATTTCTGCATTTAAAAACAGTTTGGCCATAATTCTAGACGCACGCTTCTAATTCATGTACCTGCACATGTGACCTTTGTGAGCAGAACTTTGCATGTATAATCTGTGTTTACTTGTAACTCTCTGGTTATATACTGCTTATATCTGTGGATTCAAGTTACTGAAGTGAATACCAATAAAAAAAAAACTAGGCCATGTTGGTTGGTTGGTTGAACATGTTTGGAATGTTAACCAAAATATTTGTCAGTTGTGACTTCTTTTCACTGTTAGGTTTTTGTGCATGCTTTAACGAATCATTCTTAAGTCTAGATTGGGTGTTCTAATAACAACTAAAGATCTCAGTTTAGTCCTGGTGGATTTCTTGTTCTTGTTACATAATGAAACGTGAGCCCTTTTTTCTCCAGTTGTAAATGCTGAGGATAAAGAAATTGCTAAAGTTCATATCCAGAGATGTCCGTGCCTTAATAGAATTGAAAATAGCATTGGAAAAATTAAGTTTTGTCACTCTTTAAAATCAGGAAGGGATTTTAGATGTGTTTGATAATCTGAAGTCCAAAGAACAGTTTCAATTTAAATCAGTGACAAAAACTTTTTAGTAATAAACTTTCCAGCCCAGTTGTATTAAAAGGATATTTCAAGTATATTGTTGGGTAAAATTTTAGTCTTCTCAGTAACATGCACAAAAAATCCTTGCCAATTTTTTTTTATTTAATTTTAACTGTTACTAACGATCTACTTTTGTTAATTCCCGTTTTTGTTTTTTGTTTCTTAAATCTAACAGCAGTTAAAAAAAAGTAGACCGGCCAGACATGGTGGCATATACCTTTAATCCCAGCACTTGGAGCAGCAGGCAAGGCTGCCTCTGAGTTGGAAGCCTGATCTTTGTGAGAGTCGCAGGCCATTCAAGGTTATTGCAGAACCTTTTCTCTAAAGGCAAACAAACAAAAGAACAACATTGTAAATATAAATGGAAACACATCTATCAGCAGTGATAGCTTAATTTTTATGCCCCACTGTGTGGAATTGGTGACTTGAAGAGTATTTTAAACTATTTAGCTTGATTTGTGGCAGTAAGTCAGATCCCCCCCCCCCCATATGGCTATCTTTTTTTTACTTTTCAGATGCCTATAGATGTAGTTATTTCAAATTGATAGAGTCCTTACCTAGCATTCACCCAGTCTGACCCCATAAACCAGTAGTGAAGGCATATACTTTTAATCCTAGAACTCAGGACGTATAAATGGGATCAGAAGTTAAGGTGTCATCTCTAGCAACGTGGGGAGTTTCAGAGTTCAGTCTGGGATAGAGACGCTGTTTTACCCTCTGATTGGGCTTGAATTTGGGATCCTGCCAAACCTGCATATCAACTCACATCCTTGCTCCCTTCAGGTCTAGTTTATGGCAAACCTGTAAGAAAATTTTTTTTTAATATACCTGCTATAAAGTTGAACATATATTCTTGCTATTTCAATCTTATTCTAGAAACGTGAGTGAAGGTTTTAAAGATACCCTGAGTTTTACAATCATTTTTCCTCATTGCTAGTAAGTTTTAAGTTCTGCTAGTGTTACTTTGCATATCCCAGAAGTAATTTTCATTTTATTGTGTACCTCTCAGGTACTCGGAGTGCCAAAAGTTAAAGTTTTAATTTGAACCCAGCCTGAGCAGTGTAGATGGTCTAGGTGAGGGAAACCGGGAAGATGAATTTCTGGCTATAGTATATGCTATCAACACTTAATTGTTTAGATTCTGTGGACACATGTATCTTTGTGGAGATCAGAGGAAAACTTTCTGAGGTCATTTGTCTTCTACTGCCAGATCCCCAGACCAAACTCAAAAGTTTTCAGGCTTATGTCAAGCACATCTACCCACTGAACCATACCAGTGACACCCTCCCCCCAACTAATAAAGAAAAAAACAAGGTCTCACAATGTAGCTGCGGTTGTCCTTAAACTCAACTGTGTAGACCAGGCTGGCTTCCAATTCCCAGAGATCACCTCTCTGTCTCCCAAGTACTGGGGTTAAAGGTGTGTATCATTACACCTAGCTTTCTCTACAAACTTTTGTTTTGTTTTGCCCTGGCTACCCTGAAACTCACTCTCTAGATCAGGCTGGCTTCAAACTCAGAGATAACCTTCTGCCCCCTAAGTGTGGGGTGAAAAGCATGAATCACCACTACCAGGCCTTCCTCTGAGACTTTTCAAGGTCCTATCCACTATTTGAATTATCTAGGAGGGAAAGATTTCCTTTCTACCACCACTCCTGCTTTCACATACACTTTTCTTAGTAGTTGCTGCAATGTTAGGTATTCAACTAAGGGCCTTGTACATGGTGAATATAAGTCTTCAGCCCCTGAGCCATATCCTCAATCTGTGGAGTGTCAACGTCCCATATGCCCATTCCACCCCTAGCCCACAGTTTTTCAAGACCAGGTTTATCAGTGTTGCCCTCAAGTTCATAGAGATCCACATAACTCTACCTCCCAAGTGCAGGGAATAAAGCATGTGCCGCTGCATCCTGGCTCAATGTTCCTTTTTAAGGTAATGTGACGAGTTAGGGTATTTGTTTAGCATTTTTCATAGTAAGTTTTTTGGAAGTTAAAAAATGGGCAACCAAGGGGTGGTGTCACACTACTTTAATTCTAACTCTAGGAGGCAGAGGCAGGGGAATCTTTGAAGTCACCCTGGTCTACAGAAACAGTTCCTGGACTTCAAGGGCTAAACAGAAACTTGGGGAATGGGGACAGAACTAAAACCCTAGCACTTAGAAGGAAGATAAGGAGTTCTAGACTGGTGGCTGGCTTGAATAACATGATGCCCTCCCTTCATTTAGAATTCTCCATAGCTGGAAATATATCAAGATACCTAGCTGAGTTTAACCACTATAGTGTAGGAGAGCTAACCCAGGACTTTTGTACATACTAGGTAGGCAAGTGTTACAGCACTGAGCTATTAACCCTTTGAGGATTGTTTTCCAATATTCCTCTCTTTTTTTTTGCAATATTTCTTTAATGAAAGATGACACATTACCAAAAATATGAGAGTTCAACCTTACTACTTGGTGAAAAAAATGCAAATGTTGCATTCTAGTGATTAAAGGATTTTTTTTTTTAAAGCATGGTATCCATGATACTACATGATCGTATCCATGACTCTCTTCAAAACAAGACTCAGTCTGGAGTGGTGGTGCACGCCTTTAATCCCAGCACTCAGGAGGCAGAGGCAGGTGGATCTCTGTGAGTTCTAGGCCAGCTTGGTCTACTAGAGCTAGTTCCAGGACAGGCTCCAAAGCTACAGAGAAACCCTGTCTCAAAAAAAAAAAAAAAAGGCAAGACTCGAAGATGTTTCAGGAGCAGAAAGATTCCTCATTTGTGAAAAGGGTGGTGGGATTATTTGTGATGTTGGGGATTGAGTCCATTCCTCCAAGTAACAGAATTGATTTGGACAAGATGCTGTTGCCACTGCCTATCAAAAGTAAGGCCGGTTCGTGTTTGCTCAACTTTGCCAAAATTGGAAGTGAGCGTTCTCATTGGTTATTTGATTTGTGACAGGGGTACTGTAGTGATCCTGTGGTAGTCCAAGTACTCAGGAGTGCCTCAAGTTATAGGTGAAGAGCGGCTTCAAAGCACAGTGAGAAACCATTTAAATGGGATATTTTTGCACCCTAAATTAGGTTTGACTATAAATGAGTTACCAACTGCTTCCTACCAACTTCTATATTGACCTCTATCTTAGGTAACCTGTCCTATAAAAAAAAAAATATTTAGGGGCTGGAGAGATGACTAGGGGTTAAGAGCACTTTGTGCTCTTCCAGAGGTCCTGAATTCAATTCCCAGCAACCACATGGTTACAACCATCTGCAATAAGATCTGGTGCTCTCTTCTGGCCTGCAGGCATACTTGGAGGCAGAACACTGTACATAATAAATCTTTAAAAATAAAAAATCTTTAGGTATAGAGCTTTTAAAACCCTTGCCTAGTATGCTCAAGGCACTTCTGTCCTCAGTACTAAGAAACCTGTTTGTGTCTCTGACAGCCACCTAAATTATAATGCTATGCAAACCCGTGAAATAGATTGCCTTCAAATATTAATGTAATGACCTATGAGCCTAAACATAACTCCTTTTTTCTGGTTGTGCCTGATGCTTGTATGTATTAGGTGTATCCCATCTTTTAAGCTGCTGCTGAGCTGTAGAAAGCCAATCCAAGCTGGAGAAGTCTGTTTTTACAATATGGCACATATCATCATTACTCTATTCCCGTATGCACACTATTTTCCAAATCCCTTATTCAAACTATATAGAAATAACTTTTTAAGTTGGTCTGGGCTGGCTTCAACTCAGAGACCTGCCTGCTTCTGTCTCTTGAGTACTGGGATTGAAGGTATGTTGACACCATGGTGGGCTTTTAGAAAAGGTGGTATGGATTTGCACATCTGTGTGTACCTGAGTATGATAAACTAATCTGAAATTCTGTTCCTCCTGCTTCTAACCTCCCAAGTGTTGGTATGCGTGCACCATGCCCAGTTTTATTTAGTGCTGGAGTCCAAACTCAGGGTTTAGAGCATGGTAGACAGCTCAACTAAGCTGCATCCTCCCTCCCCCAAGGCAGAGTCTGTCATGTACCTCTGCTTCTGAGTGCTGGGATTCTAGACTAGCATGCTCAAATTAGGAGTTTCTGTAAAATACTGGGGATTTAGTGTAGGAGGCCTTTTCATGTCTTAGGGACACATTCTAACACTAAGCTATACTCCTAGCCCTGGTTTTTGTTTTGAGACAGGTCTTACTTGACTTGTCAAGTAGACCTTGAAGTTGAAATCATCCTACCTAAGCTTCCTTAGTAACTCATGATCCTTCCCACCCAATATTAGATACTGAACACCAGGCCTCGTGTGCTAAGAAAACACTGTATTCCCAATAACTCTTAGCTTTTTATTTTGGAACAAGTTCTTTGTCAGCATTTGGCCCTGCAATTGCAGTGTAGCCCTGAATTTTTTGTTGGGTTGGGTTTGGTTTGTGTTTGGTTTTTTGAGAAAGGGTTTCTGTGCGTATCCCTCGCTGTCCTGGAACTTATTCTGTGGACCAGGCTCTCGTCAGTCCTACAGAGACCCACCTATCTCTACCTCCCAGGTGCTGGGATTAAAGATACACTCCATCACCGCAATGTTTTGTTCCTGAGTAGCTGGGATTCCAGACGTATGT